TAATCAGAATTCATTATTTTACAAGTGAATAAAAGTTCATGATAATTATCAAACTTAATGTTTCTCTTTTACCATAGGAGTTAATTTTCAAATCGCGTATCCTTCTATACCTAAAGCAAATATAACGAAGGATAAAGAATCGAATTGAGATTGTGTGCGTATTCACACTATCCCCAATTCATTCTAATTGTGCTAGGGTTCTTTGTTTAGGCTCTCTTCAAATTGTGTAATCGGGTCACAATTGGTGGTAATTGTGGATAGAAGAAATAGGTTTTTCTACTTGTAAAGACACTTTGTATAGGTTGTCTTATTATTGCGGCTACGGGTCGATTTGAGGGTTTTTTGTGCGAGTGAGAGATTTGGGTTATTGGTGTTGATTGGTTTGTAATTTGTAAATATCTTGATCCTTCTTATAGTGCAGTGAGCCCCAAATTACTTGGAGCTCAATGTGGACGTAGTTCATTCTATTAGGATAAACGAACTACAGTAAAATCTTACGTGTTCTTGATTTTCATTCTCATTTGATTCGTGTTGTGTGTGTGTGTGTGTTAGGTGAGTTTGATAGTGAAATAGATTAGGATTGAGTTTGATTGAAACCCAACACTGCAGTTGAACAATTCTCGCAGTGCTTCACAATTCTCAGTGCATGTAAATTTTCTAAAGGAAATTTTATCTCCAGAAAAATACGACTGAAAACATACAGAACAAGTGTGCTTTCTAGTTCATATACTGGCTGCCAAGTCATCAATCCATGTGAATGACTCTAGATGGACGGCCAAGATAAAAATTCAAAACGTTAAGTAACTAATAACTAAACTTACAGCTAACTTTATCTTATAATCTTGACCGCTAAGACAGATTAAAATACTAAAATACCCCTTATACCCAAAATTATAAAATTTTATTTTCATTTTACTTATTTCTCCCCCATCTTTTGTTTATTTTTCCTCTTCTTCCATTATCTTTCTTCTTTCCCAATTTCTCTCCCCATCTCAAATACCTCCATCAGCCATCTCAAAAACACATCTTCAATAACCACGAACAAAACTCATCTAGTCACCACAAAATTCATCATCAATCACCACAAAAACTTAGGAGCTTGCGACGGCTATGCAAGCTCCTCCTGTGGCTTTGTATTTGGTAGGGAAAAATAACATCATCTGTCCTTTGCTTAACTTAACGCATTTACGATTATTGGGGGCAATTTGATTAAAAACCATAGCTGTCGGAACATGGAAACATTCGAAACTGTAGGGGCGGGGGGGGGGTAATGAAATTTTTCTCGTTTTATTATTATTTAATTAATTATATTCAATCAGGGGTGTAACCATTTGCTGGCCTAGGGTAACCATGGTCACTGCTCATGGCTCTATAAATGTTCTGAGTGTATTTCGTACATATGAAAAAAAAAAACATTAATTTATATGTTGGCCATCTCTATATAAGTTTATATATTGTGGTTTTTATTGGCCGAAAAACTTCCACTACCCAAGTTTGGCATAAAGACAGATTGATATCCAAAATTTTGGAAATGACAAACAAATTTCTGTCACATTCGTTAGGGATTTTCTTTCTTTAAAGATATATTAATTTCATTCTCACCCAAGCCCGTTTGCACAACCCTCTTGCATCTCGATCGTTTTTTGATGCGATTTAGATTTTCTATGAAGTTCATGATAGTGGCATCTGGCCCTGGCTGACGCGCTTGGAATGAGATCGATGAGTATTCCAGTCTTTTCACCATTTTTGTCTTTATACAGATGGAAATTCCTACAAAACATGACAGAAAGTGGGTGTTTATCATTTCCAAACCTTTTGGTACCACTTTGTCTTTACAGCAAACTTTGGGTATGTGTAGTCGTTCCCCCTTTATTTATAAACTTGAGATTTAATAAATATTTTATTTATTTTTTATGACTGGGATATCTATGCAAGTTTATAACACCTCAACAATCCTTTAAGACCCTAAACTATTACTCGGATAAGAATTTCATGGCTATCCTATTAGTAACGGAGGAGGAACTCAACTGAAGACTTATTGAATAATACATCCAAGAGTTTCTATCAAGCACTCGAAGTATTAATTTTTTTTTTGTTTTTTAAACAAATAAGATATTTCGCCCTTGTATGGCTCAAAGGTGTGCAAAGACAGCCAAAAAAAAAAAAACAAAAAAGCCTTTGAAACCCCAACAAACAAAACTTTAATTATGGCACGGTGGAGCCAACTGCTCTAACAAAAGTTGCAGAAGTATTCTTTTCTTGTGAATAAAATAAATAGTGCTAACTTTATTAAAGGGAATCTTTATAAAAGTTTAATCATTGCTTTCTTTTTTGCTAGCTTTCCCACAATCACTTGTGAAAGCATTTTTTTTTTTTTTTTTATATGATAACTTAATTCAAGCAAACTTATGTAATACAATATAATAGTACATATATTTTTTCTTGTTTGTTTTTATTTTTTTATTTATAATTTGATTTTTAACATAGAAAGAGTGATTTAAAAGGAAAAACTCGATTCTTAAATAATAACTCAGTATTTGTAATTTCGTATCTATAATTATCAATATCATAATAAGAATAAAATGGTTTAGTTGTAATATATTGTTATTCACTATTTTAACTATTTTATGACATATATTCTTCAAAATATGCATTAGATAATTATAAAACAAAAGAAGAAAATTATATTTATTATCATTAATATGAGAATAATTTTATATATAAGAACTTATCTTTGATATTTTTATATAAATTAATTAATTACCTGACCTATCCACATTCCAATTACTTAAAAACCAAATCCCATCCTTTATAGGATATAACTACATCTTTGATTTCATTTCAATGGAAAGATTTTAGCCTTCACGTTTCTTCTTTGGCCCGTATTTACCTTAATGGAGAAACACTTAATTGTGTAAGTACTTAGTTTTGATTTGTTACATTGTCTTCTTCTTCTGCTGGTGCAATATCACTGTTATTGTTGTAATTAAGCCTTGGACGTAGAGATGCAGTTTTGGCTCCCTCTTTCTTACCTTTACTGTAGTAACCTAATATTGGTTTCTTTTTCTCCCGCAATCGTGAAGGTATGGGTAGCATCTCTTACTCCTGCTCTTGATCGTGCTAGCCATTGGTGTTATCCATCATTGGGCTTCAACAATTTTTATTTTATTTGACCGGACCAGATGTTCTTTGTTTGCGTTCCGTTCTTTTTTGTGGTTTGGCTGGCATTTCTTTTGGAGGTAAAAAAAAAACCTGTATTGCTTGCTTTGCTTCCTTTTGTTGTCATACCTCATACTTACCTTGGTTTTCAGATAAGCTCTTTGTGTTGAGCATCTGTTGTGTTATTTTTTGTTTCTAATTCTCGCTGGAAGAGCATTGACTGTGAGTGTAACCTTTCTATTCACCGTGTTTTGAGTATGATTACTTTTAATTCTTCTTTTCACTGTCCTGCTTCATTTTATCTTACAAATGCAATTCTTTTAGGTTTCTTTCGCCTCCAATGTAGATTTATTCTCACGAGTACGCCTGTATATGTTTATGATGCTCTGATAGTGGAAAGAATGTCGTTTTGTTCTACTCTGGTGTCCTAACCATTGGTCACTGGTTCCTTCTCTACCTCCGCTATCAATGTAATTCAACAATTTTTTATTTGTCATATTAATGTATGTGAATTTCATTTGGGTAGAATCTATGCATTGGAGCCAAATATCTAACACAAAGTGGCAGACAGTATTCTTTCTTGTGAATAAATAATAAAGTGCCAACTTATTAAAGAGAATTCTTTGTACGTAATAGTTTAATCAGTTGCTTTTCTTTTTTTGCTAGCATGCTTTCCAAAAAATCTGACAGGATGGATAGCATAGCAGGAATACAGTAGCACCAAGTAGTATGGGATAACAAGCCAACAGATAAACATCAATCGTATCCTGATGACTTTTCTTCTCATTTTTTTTTTTATTCAATTATCATTTCATTTTTTACCATTATCAAGGAGACTATTTTAATTTTATTTCTACTCAAATAGTTAGAGTCATGATATAAATAGCTTCTAAGACTATGTAATAAGTATCCCTTATTGAATAAACAACTTCGTCTCCCTTTTCCCCCCCTCCTCCCCCCCTACACCCTCCTCCCCTCCCTCCCCCCCCTGCCCCCTACCCCCTCCCCTCCTTGGGGTAGTGGTAATTTTCCCGTATGGTCCTCAGTCGAAAAGAGGATAAGATGTCCTCTGAAGTGGGGGAAGTCGTCTTCCTTAGGCACTTAATCGGCATGGAAATAGATTTTTGTAGAAATCAGATAATTCCAAGATTAATGTAAATGCATGCCATGGTAGCATAGTGAGTACTACAAATATCTTCCATTAGATTTGTAAACACCACACAGAATACCAGCGCCAACGATAATTTGTCGAGGCAGTGCCTCAGTGCATTGTTTTGCAGGGGTATGGAACATAAGCAAGGAATGGGTGAATCATTCTCACAAAAAAAATGTAAACGAACATGAGCTAGACAGCGGTAAGGGGAATATTGCCCTGTGCTCAACTTGCTTCAAGAGATGCTCGAATTCTGATAGAATATGTGGACTGCTACGAGAGACACTGTGCACATAGCTTCCATGCTGGTCATGCAGGCTTTGGCAGGAATTCTTGAGTCGTAAGCGCGCTGGACGGAGAGGCTTGATTCCCGTTAAATCAATACCACTTCACTTAGCCTTCAAAAGGGGTACTCGGATATATTAAAAACAAAAATGGTATCGGTTAATCCTGAAATGTCCTGCTGCGTGATCGTGACGGAAAAAACCCATGTAAATATTGGCCAGGTCACAAGCGGTTCATGTTAGTTTTCGCTTAAAGAGGTGGTTAAAGAGGGAGGCCTAATGGCGGCTCGAGTGATGCACACGAGGGTGAACAATTATACATGCCTCGAGAGATTTGACCGGTTGGCGAGCAAGATAATTCTTGATGGGACAAATGAGTTGACTGAGTTTGTGGAATAATAAGCATGAATGATGCACTCTTTTGCATCGTCTGGCGGGTGGCAGATAAACAAGTGGAGGTTGTTATCAAGATAGACTAAGTAATATATTAAGTTAATGTATTTTCGGCCTTGTATTATCGTGTAAATTGCCAGTGTTAGACTTAGATTTTCTCCTTAGGTACCCCAAATTTACTCTCAATTGATTCCATGTAAAGCTAAGCACACATAAGAAACTTTAAAATTCAGTCAGGAAAGACAACAGCCTCAACAAGCATATCCACAAGCAGGGGTGAGTCCGTCCAGCCCAACTTAAATCTCAAGAATCGAAACTGGAACTATACAATATCGATTCCTGAGATTTAGGAATCGGAACCAGTACTGTAATTGGAACCTTTCCGATAGCTTCCAATTCTAGGTATCCTGTGATTCCGGTCAACCCGAAATTTTTGCTCACCCTTATTGACGAGTACTTCATACAATCATGAAAACTCTCTTAAATAGAGCATCAATGTGAAAGGCTAATTTTTTTTTCTTTTTTCTTTTTTATATAAAATTATCATACGAGAACCACTAAAAATGAAAATAGGGTAACAAACATTTTTCACTAACTTTTTTTACAAACGCAACGTGACAGCTCACATTTGGTTAGGCATGACCCATTGCTGAAAAAACAGAACCCATTACGAGCTGACCAATTGTGAACTGATACATTGCGTTTGTGGAAGAAAGCTAGTGAGAAGTGTTTGTGAGCATGGTATTACTCAACCACTAATTCTAACCCCTAAATGTACTCAATCATGATGACAATATATATATGTGTGTGTGTTTGTGTGTGTGAATGTGTCACTATGAGGGTACGTGTATATATATATATATATAATCCTTTTGGATTTGTTAATGCAAATAAATTTGTTTTGTGTCTCATAATATATATACTAAGCAACAATTTAATGTGCAGGCAATACAGTTTTTGACTACCAATAATGCAATAGAAGTGAATGCTCTTAATGAAGGTGGCTTTACCGCTTTGGATATTTTAAAACAAAGCAGAAGAGATTTGAAAGATTATGAAATTGTGGAGTTGCTTAGATGTGGGGGAGCTATTTCTGCAGAAGACATTGTCGTATCGACGCATGAACTTGGGTCCAAACAAACTAGAACCTTAACATCTCATAGCAATAATCAAATTAATATGTTGCGCCCTCAAGGTAAGCGTACAGAAAAGTCCGTTAAGAAGAAAGATGATTGGTTGAAAGAAATGAATAATGCCTTGATGGTGGTAGCATCACTGATATCTACTGTAACATTTCAAGCTGGTCTGAACCCTCCTGGTGGTGTATGGCAAGAGACTAAAAAAGCCCAATATGGCGCCCCCACATCTGAACCATATCACGAGGCAGGGGAGTCAATAATGGCTGATACATCATCACCTCACTATTATAGTTTGTCTAATTTGTTTTTCACTTCCAATACCATAGGGTTTGTTGCGTCTCTTTGCATCATTTTACTGCTCGTGAGTGGTTTGCCATTTTGTAAACGCAGGTTGTTTACGTGGATTTTGATGGTGATCCTGTGGGTTGCGATTTCGGCATTAACCCTTGCTTATCTCTTCTCTCTAAGTTTTATTACAAGCCCGAATGAACCGGTCATCGGGTACGTATCTGCTACAGTGATGGTATTACTTGTATGGATGGGCGTGATGGGGATTCTTCTTCTGAGTCACACCATTCGTCTTGTAAAAAAGATAATAGTCTATTTCATAAAATTAACAAAAGCATGGAGGGATACTAATGGTTCAAATGCTGATGAACAATGTCTTAGTGTCTAATATCTACAACATTAATATTTAATGTGTAGAAATTATGTTTTTGAGAGACTGTATGTACTTTTATGATAATGTTACATATTTTACTTTTCTAGGTATGTAAAGTGTTTATGTTTTGTGCATGTAACAAAAGTGAAGATCTTGTTGAGTAATGGTGATGTAACAAAAGTGTTAGTTTTCGAAGGCTTTACTTGCAATTGAATAGGCTGTCAGGTCTGCTACTAGTTATACCTTTAATGATGACAATCTTTCAAACAATAATTTCTTTGGATCTACTTCTTTAATTTTGTGTTTAGGCTTTAATTTTGTGTTTCTCATGCTTAAAGATAATTTATCTGGAGAAATATCTGATTGTTGAATGAATTTGAGATTGTTGAACTGCTAACATTCCAACCTCCATGGGAAATTTGAGTTTCNTGTTATAACTACTCAAAGAAAGAATCAACCAACACAAGCAACAAATCAAGATCAAGAATCAAACACAATACCAACAGATTTACCGTCGTTCACTTGCTCTAAGATTGAGCAAGCTACGTCAACGTTGAACTCGAGAATCACACGAGCTCGCTGCACTAAAACTGTCAAGTTTACAGATTACACAATAAGCAACACAAGTCACTCAAAACCCCTTCTTCAACCCGTAACCAAACCCTAGAGATTACACCATTCGAATCCCTAAGAACAGTGTATACCATACACCCAGAAATGACCTAACCAGTCACTCAACACTCAAGTTACAGGAAACACTCAACCCAAACTGCAGAAACCCTAAAGGCTTAACAATGGTGTTTTACCGAAGAAGAGAGAGTAATCGAAAACGAAACTTAAGCGCTCTAATAAACTGCCAAAATAATTCTGCTTTTATATGGGAACATTAGGGTTAAATTTCACCCGTTGGATCTCCCTTTTTCATCAACGCTCAGGATTGATTCTGTCAGTTGGAGCAAAGCGACGTCGTTCCACTTAAGTGTCAATACGGTAGCGTTTCAAGCCATCATCCAACAATACTCTTATTAACTTTGAAGCTAAGAGCGAACTTGTAACATCTCGACCCGCTATTAAGATATTATTGGATTTTTGTCTCTTACCCACCTCAAATTGTAGGACTTAGGACCTATCCTTCTTTGTTTTCCTGTGATAAATCATTATTGCCTAGAAAACTAGACCTTCAAGATCTTAAAATTAATAAACGAGGTAAAATTAACCTTTTATCTTTGTAGGAGTCAATTTTGTAACACTCAAAAGGTAATAATTCTTTATTGTCACAGTCATCACAATAAGTAAAAGATAAGGGAATTTATGGAGATTAAAAGAGTATAAAGAAAATAATAAATACAAAGTAGTAGCATAAAGCTTGTAAGTGAAGAATAAGACTTATAGATGCGGAGTAAAACTTGTCCTTTCTTATATAGGGCTTTTTTGATAATGGTGGAGCATTCTTGGACAATTGGAGGTTGATTAAAAGGTGCCCCATTTTCTATCCGCACTTCCTCACTCTTAGGGAAGTGGATTTTAACTTAAAATCCTTGTGGACTTGGGCCGTTTGACTCTTCCCTTGGTCTACTTCTACTTGTGGGCTGCCTTTGAATTAACTTCTTGGGCTTGACTTCGTTTTTAACCCTTGGGCCTTTAATTTTGGATCCAACACTCATCATTCACAACACCCTAGAATGCATAAATTATTTACTTTTTTCGTAATCAGTTGTAAACTTATTGCTAACATTGTAATTTTTTTTTTCAAAATCATACCAAATTTCCTTGCATTAGATGTTAAAATAATATATTTCAGCAAAATTCATTAAATATCCATAAATAGAAAGTCTCAAGCTCTGTTGGCAAAATCCATCCCCGTCTTCATATTATCACTGTTCACGTGACACACCCCCTGGCTTTAAATTTTATTCACTCTCATAAATATATAATTCAAGTAAAAACAAAAATAAAAATAAAAGGTTTTTCTCGACCCTTATGGTTTAATTATTTAACAAATTTTCCCCTAAAATTCTAGATATAACAAAAATTCATAAGACGTTAGTAATTTGTTAATATACCGTTTTGAAATTTATAACATGATGGTCAATAAATATTTAACTAATTACCCCTTTACCATGTTTTAACACTGAAAATTCATGAAAAGGGAATTTCTATAATTTCTATAACAATAGAGGAATTTTTGTTATTAGCACTATCTAATTTATCTTCAATATACAGTTAAACCTCGATAAAACAATACACAATATATTAATAACCTCGATTAAATAATATTTTTGGCCCGTCCCGATTTGAGACCAATGTGATAAATTAATAATTCACTAAATTTATAAGATAATACATTTAAAAAAAAAAAACACACACACACACATGGATATCACTTGATATATAAATTAATAATCTTTTTATACATCAAAATTATATGACTTGAACCATGTATATTTTTATATGACTTATATAGTGATCAAATATATGTGACAAGACTAGATATCTTATCTGTTTTTTTTTATATGACTTATATAGTGATCAAAACAATACACAACATCTAGGGTTGGACTTGGAATTCTACTGTTCCATCCATCAAATATATATATATATTATCCACATGACTCATAAAGTCCTCAAAAGCTGGCAAAAGATATCATCAAATTAGAGGTAAAATATTGGTACCACCGGCGCCGTGCACTTAACTCCGATATTTGTGAAAGAGAAATGAACTGTTGCATATATGCAAAACCAATCTGTTCAGAACATAGCTTAAAAATAGTTTAATATTAATATAATAATAAGATCAATTTTACAGAACATCTTCAATTAATATTATGATGTAGCAGCGCAATCCAAGTTCCAAGCAAATGTCAAGTTACCTACTATATTCAAACGATGCAGCGATGCTCTCCGGCTTTGGTGAAGAGAAAGTGTTACAATCCCGACGTAAAAAGGGTGGTGGTGCCGGCCAGAAGCTATGATTTCGTACTTCCATTGACTTCAAAAGTATCAATTACTCTGAAAAAACTGTAGTTACCAAATTATCCAGGGGAGAAATTAAGTTTTTAAGTACGTAAGTAAGATTTGTTAATTTTTTAACAATGTCTTATATATAAACACTATGTATAAATGTCATACAGTTGTGGTATTAATTATGATCAAATAAAAATCTTGATCGAAGAAGATAAAAAAAAAATGTTGTTTGAAAGAAAGAAATTTACTTAGAGCTAAATTGTTTCCCCATATGGAAAAAAAATTTAAAAATAATTAATTATCAAAGCTTAAAAGTTTGCTGACTTGCTCTTCAACTAAAAATATTCTGGTTAACAAAACAATTTGACCACTTCTTTTCTAAAACAATTTTTTTTTTTTTTTTAAATAATGTTTAAACAAAACTCTTATTTAGTCAAATATGCTTTATCTTATCAAGCAAATTAACCTCAATTGTTAATAAACTAAGCAAATTAGTGCCTTGTTTCATAAAGGATCAATGGCATATCAATTTGACTATTCGTCGTTTCCAGTATTTATATATAATATATAAATAAATTTCAACTATCTAATTCTTAACAATAGGTGGCCAAGTGTAAAGGCTTGGGGCCAAGGGGTTTGCTCCCTGTGGTTTATTCGAATCATAAGAAGTGTTGCTAATATTATTGGTCACGGACCGATGACTGCCCTATTTGGAAGCCTTGTTCGGGGTGTGGGACTAGTCGGGTACACGTAAGTAGTCCTAACACCCTTGGTAACCCAAAAAAAAAAAAAAAAATACCAACTTTTTCTCCTTCGTGACTTGGAAAGTTATAAGTCTCCTTGAGAAAAAGTTGAACCTATAACTATTAAAAGTTTGATACTTTTAGACAAAGTTAAATAATATTTAGTTTGAAATTTGAGGATTTTGTCGTATTGATGTTGAGATTATGTAAATATTTAAATATGCTGAAATTACCTAGTTTTACAAACATTCTAGTTAATATATCAGAGGTGAATGACCATGAAACCAACCATGAACATTGTTGTTCTTTTTGAGTTACTCACCTTAGCAACCATCAATATTAGCTCTGCAACAAATGACTACTTGAGTTGCCATGAAAGTGAGAGGCAAGCACTTTTAAGATTCAAAGATCCATCCAATCGGCTGTCTCCTGGAGTGGTGATGGAAGATGCTTGCGTCGAGGTGTAATCTATGACAACCTGACAGGCCATGTGTCGAGCTCCACCTTGACAAATGGAGGGTAAGATAAATCCGTCTTGCTTGATTTGAAAGATTGATTTACTGAACTTAAGCACAATGCTTTTGAAGGAATTCAAATTCCTAAATTTCTGGTTCTATGAGAAAGTTAAAGTATCTTGATCTTCTAGAGTGGATTTATGGGAATGATTCTCACCAACTGGGAATCTTTGTGATTTGAGATATCTTTACCTCTATACTCAAGTTCTTGGAATGGGTGATGTTGGCAGTTCCTTTTGGCTATTGGTCTTCGTGCACTAGAGCACATTGATTTGAGTTATGTAAGCCTCAACAAAACCACTGACTGGTTCAAGTGATAAATGATCTTCCACTTTTAGATGTGTTAATACTGTATGGCTGCCAGCTTCATTACTTTCCTAATATCCATGTGCAAACTTTTCATCTTCTTCTATCCTTGATCTTACTAACAATCAATTAGGCCCCTCGATTCCTAGTTGGATTTTTGGTCTTAAAGATCTAATCTTTCTTTCACTATCTAGTAACAGTTTTGAAGGTTTGATTCCTGATGGGCTTCAAAACTTGACTTCATTGAGGAGCATTGATTTATCTTACAACTTTTTCAACTCTTCAATACCCATTTCGTTGTACAAATTTAGCCACCTTGAGTACCTTTCGCTTGACACCCAATGCCAGTCTGATAGATTTGAAGGGAGAATTCCAAGATCATTTGAACCACTTTGCAATTTGAAATCAATCTCTTTATTTTGTGTCAAACTGAATCAAAACATATCTGAAGTCTTAGGTATCTTTTCAAGATGTGTTTCAAATAGATTAGAGTTATTGGATTTGCCTCACAGTCAACTTTTTGGTCATTTGTCTGATCAACTTGGGAAATTTAGGTCATTTGTCTTATCAACTTGGGAAATTTAAGAATCTTGTCAAACTTTCGCTAAGTTACAATTCTATTTCTGGTCCTATTGGATTGTCTTTATGAGAACTTTCATCTTTGAATAGTTTAGATCTTTCCTTCAATAAATTTAATGGAATTATTTCCCGAAATGCACTTT